GTTGTTGTTGTTGTTGTTGTTGTTATGCAAAATATGTTGAATTAGAATAAACTTGTTTCTTAGAAGGGTTATAAATTAATGCAAAGCACAGTAAAAAGTAAATCTTTTCACTCCTATAGATAAGCCATCCATCCTGCAGCTCTCCTCCACCTGTGCTCTGAAGGACTCTGAGGTTCTCTGTCACTGTTCCRTCGACTCCAACCCCAAAGCAGCCGTCACCTGGAGCGTTAACGGAACCGTTCCACCTCTCGATTACAACGTGTCCGTAACATCAGACGCTGACACGCTAACGGCCTCTCTGAGGGGTCACATGGACGAACCACAGAGGATCACCTGCTTTGCTTTCAACTCCCTTGGAAATGACTCCCTTGTTTTGCTGCAGGGAGATGAAGGTGCGCTCAAAGTGCTTTCACTTCTTTCCTCAGTGAGAAAGGCAACAGCTCTTCTCCTGGTTTATTCACTCTGATGGTGAACTGTCCGTACAACACGCAGCTCACTAGATAGTAAAAATAAACCTTATAATTTATTCCCTTGTATATGAGGTATAACATTTCACAGATTATAACTTGTCAGCAGTGTAGGTTCTAAATCTAGTTTTGGTGATCTTGTCTGTATTTTCAGAAASTGTATCTTTGATTTGGATCATTTTACCTGCTGCGGTCATCTGTCTGCTCATATTCCTCCTGCTTCCTCTTGTGTACTGGAGGAAAAAAGCTGAAAAGTAAGCAAAGCAAATACACCTTTTAAATAGTCTCTTTAATTCAAAGCATTCAGTGAAGTTAACTTATAATGTTCTGCTTCCATTAGACGCGTTCTTAGAGGACCTCCAGTCGTGTACCCTGAAGGACTGGGAATTTACCAGGACAGGATGCCACTCTATGTTAACTGCACTGAAGTGACTCATGTTTACACCAATGGCAGCTACCAGCTTGTATACCAGAACTGCACGCCTCTTTTTGTTCATACCAAGCAGGTATTAGACTAGTTTGATTCTTACAAATGAGAAAACAGGAAAATAACTTGAATTTMTAAGACCTTGATTTGTAACGTCTCTCTTTTTCAGAGCCGTCCAATGGGGCGAAGAGGTGGGGCGAGAAGAAGAGACAGAGAAGCCAGAGGGACTGATAGAAGAGCTGACGTGGAAGTTAGAGGCACAAGAGCGGTGCAGGAATCTGATCCAGAGACAGCCATCTACCTGGAGATTCTCTGAGTCAGAAACTAATTGCAAATGTGTGTTGAGTTCAATCTTGTTCATGAGCCAATATGAGCATGGTCATTAGAGTTCTCAAATATTTTTTATGTGTTAGAGTGCTTTTTTACAAAAGATGGAAAGATTTGATTTAAAAAAGGTTCATCTTTCCAGAATAGAAGCGCCTAATATTTAATGTTTTCTGATAAATAGAATAGAATAGAATAGAATAGAATAGTTCTGTAAAACTGCCCATGATGTTTTGCCTTTAGAAGTAAAAAAATAAATAAGTGCTGAAACTTTAGGTTCAAAGTTCACTATTTACTTATTTTTGTTTGTTTGTTTGTTTTAGACCAATGCCATAAACAGGCACTGTAAATAMATGTTTATAGAATTTTTCTTTGTGTAAAAACTGTGATAAAAAACAGTTTCTCTAATAATCATTCATAATAATAAAAAGTCTTTTGTCTAATCTTGTCTAATCTTGGATTTAATTACTCAAGGTTAATGTTAAAACAGTATTRCCTACGCCATGAACTACACATTTAATAATATTTATTAAATAATAAATATTCATTCTTTTGCCAATTATTAAGCAGAATCAAGAAAACTGGTTGYCTAAATGCTTTTTCCTTAGATTTCCGATTGAAATCTTGTTCCAAGGCCAAAGAAAAACAACTCTAATCTAAATACCTTTCAGTAATTTAAAAGCTTTTTACAATCTTTAGTTTGTACAGTATTTACTCACACAAGTTCTGCAGTTCACACTCATTCCAACTGAGGGCGCTAAAACCCATGTGATGAAGTAATAAGACAGAAGAAGAGAAATCGAAGGCTCTCATTGGACAAAAATTGTGGTAGTCGGAAATTACATCACTTCGTTATATTTGCAGCCTTTTGGTGGGAAAATGAGTGCGCCTTCATGCACTTTTAACGTAATATTTACAGCGAGCAATATATGTTTTTAGAAATTTACTATATATTGGAAGTGACGATTGTGCGTCACGCATATCGGAGTGCGTAAGATCGTTAGGAACGAGTTTTTTAAGTGGTAAATTGTCACACCAACCAGCAGGAAAACTTAACTCTGCTATTGTTTGCTAGCATGCTAGCGAACAGAGATACTTGAGCGACACAGAACGTAAATTAGGAGTATTTTTATATTTATTCAGCTTAAAACAACGCTGCTCCGTGACTATAAAACGCCTTTTTGAGGGCTAATTTATTGTATTTGAATTTGTCGGGTGTCAACAACATGCCAGAAATCAAACTGAAGCATGTGGTGTCCTGCAGCTCAGAGGATAATGTAAGTTTTCTCACTCTTCTTTAGCGCAGCCAGTGTTTAGCGATTTCCAGTTTTTCATAAACCTACTTTTTGTTGTAACACAAAACAGACTCACAAAGCAGACAACCTGCTGAGCTCAGACACCTACAGGAAGTGGAAAGCAGCCAGAGCCGGTGAGAAGCAGACGTCTGTCATCCTGCAGGTTTGTTTAGGCCAGAGTTGTAAAGTAACTAAGTACAAGTACGTCTTTACTGTACTTAAGTAGAAATTTTGGGTATCTGTACTTTACTTGAGTAATTATTTTTCAGCTTACTTTTTACTTCTACTTACATTTTCACACAATTATCTGTACTTTCTACTTACATTTTTTTAAAAGGCAAAAAGTAGAAAGTCGTTCCTTTTATTTCATTTTTGCTTGTTTTTATTCCAGCTTGTTATTAAAAAATAAATACTATCCATATAAATTGTGCCTCCTAGATAAAGTGAATTTGATTGTGGTTGAATGAGAATTATAAATATAAAATTCTGATACTGTATTAGTTTGTACACAAACAAATCATGTCACACTCCAGCAGGACATACTAATCATTAAAATAAAAGTACTGAAGTATTTGTATTTTATGAATTATATTATTGTATTTAGCAGCAGCCCTTGGATAGATTTTTCTTTTGAGGAAAAGGTTTGGGCAACTTAGCTTAGTGCATACTAAGTTTAACATAAATTAATTATTTTAATACGAAATAGTCCTTTCTGTATATTTTGGGGAGGTCACCTAATCAATGCCATTACGGAAAATCTACCTGCTTGTTTGAAGTCAATACTTTTAATGCTTAAGTACAAAAAATATCAAATACTTTAAGACTTTTACTCAAGTAATATTCCTAAAGGAGACTTTAACTTTTACCAAAGTAATTTTTTGGTAAGATACTTGTACTTTTACTCAAGTATCACTTTGTGGTACTTTATACTAGGGCTGCCACAAATGATTATTTTAATTATCGATTAATCACCGATTATTTATTCGATTAGTCTACTAATCGGATCATACGTTAATTGAATATAAAACATAGAGCTTATCACGCCAGAATGCAGCTGCTATTATATAACCATGGTTAGATTTTAGCTATATGCTAACTAAAAATAA